GTGGTGCTCTACAGCGTGCTAAACATCGGTAATTAAAATAAGTCAAATCAAATGTGATAAAATAAGTAAAATTAGATTTATCCAACGTGTAGTATTGGTGTATACGAAGTCATTACTGAAAATAACAATTTATTTGACGGAATAGAATAGAATAGAATAGAATAATTTTTTATCTTACATGTGTAATTCTTATTGAAAGTAATTTTTTACTTTACCACTGGTTCGAAAAAAACCCTCTGCCCTCTGTCCGGTGCTTCACTTACATATACGTCGTAACATTATTTAATCTGTGGTAGAGCCACGCTGCAGTTTTATTTTGGTTGTAGCACGAATGGGTCGGCTCGACCGGGGAAAGACCACTCTCCCACAGATGTATTTTACTCACACATGTATTTTAATGTATCTCTTATTATACGAATTTGTACCGTTCCTATTAAAATATTTATCTACCAATTAATATTTTATTCTTTAAAATGAATGTTTTGTGCTAAGTATGCGTGTGGTTTGACACAAAATCGACAAATAAAAATAAACAATTTTTATTTGTCGATTTTGTTTGATTTTAAACTTGTTCTTAGTATTTGACACCTAACTTAACAAAACTTATGTAAATGTATTTATAACTCCAGATCCAGAACTAAAAGTATACTCGCTAGTGCGAAAACGATGACGTAGTTAAACCAGAAACATTGGACATGAATTAACATTTCCTTACATCAAGTAAAACATAGATTTGGTCGAATTGACGCGATGAGCGTGTGACATTTCATTATCATTATTGTCTTTACAACCCCTCACAAATCCAGTTCTGAACTTTGATTTCTCCCAAGAAATATAAAATATGTAAAAAATAAAATTAGTCCTTTACCCTGACTCTCTTCGAACGCATGGCACAATATCCAGCCTTTTTAATTCGTCCATCTTTGGGCACCCTATCATCTAGTTGACCATGGAAGATGGCCCGTCCTGCAGGGCTCATCTCAAGGCTGCATGTACTATAGCCCTCATTGTGATCACTGTCGCTGGTTGTCACAAATTTATCTAGCACGTTGGGTTCATTGAAGCACCAAATAAGATCAGTTTCACCTGAAAAAAATTATTATGTATTAAATATGTAAAACTATTTTCCCGACGGTCCCAGTGATATATTACGGGACTGTGACACGGTCAGTCACTGCTGGCCATATAAGGAAGCACAGTTATTCAGCTAAAAATTGAAAGAGAAATGCTTGTGGTTTCTCTGTGATAAAATCTGTAACAAGTACACCAACAGCAGAACAAGAGCAATTGATAAAGCTTAATGAACCAATAGGCTGATATGACAATGGACTGACTATACAACTAAAAAACTATCTGATGATGATGAAGGTCAATAAGGATAAATGATTATTGAATAGCAGCTCTTACTAGCAAGTGCAGTGATGAGTGAGGTTAGCCTCCCTCCAGCCTTCTTACTAGGCTTGCCAATGCTAAAAAAGGAATTTCCGGGATTTCCCAGCTCGACATCCGGGACTTGGGTATATTACGCGAGAGACAACACACTTCATACAAATTGGTTAGAAAAAAAAACCCACATTGGTTATAACTGCATTTTTGATCAAAATTAATGTTAATTTGTAGTTCAGCCTTGACGTGGTCAACAAACAGCTTATTTCTGCTGTTTGTCCATGCATTTCTACAGAGAGAAAACACTCTCTCTGCTAAAGCATTTGAAAGTGGTATCGAAGCTACGGCTAAGGTGTGATACTAATATATAATCAGTGATTTCCGGGACAAAAGGCGTCTCGCAAGGGGTTACGGCGGGACGGTCCAAAATGGACCCAGAAGCGGGCTTCCCGGAAAATCCGGGACAGTTGGCGAGCCTACTTCTCACACTACTTTCATACTGAGAAGAAACATGGAAGAATTTGACGTTTGCAAGTGGTAAAGAACCATGACTTTTGGCAATCTATTGTGAGGCACATTATAACAATGTATTCTGTGTATTGTGTGCGTCAAGGAATCTGGGACGGGCTGTTATAAATGATAATTAATTTGCTTTAATATAAATAAATCATTATTAAATATACTTACTATTATTTTAAACACATAAATAAATGTGTTTAAAATAATATATGTTTCGTCATAAGAAGATTCACACGTATACATGGGAAAGAGGTGATGATAGAAGTATGATAGATTTCATAATTGTTGATGAAAGAATGAGGAGCGCGGTGGTAGATACAAGGGTTTACCGGGGCTCTAACGTAGGGACGGATCATTACTTGGTCTTATGCCGAATTAATGGTCTTTTCAGACGTTGGAGGCATCGGACATCTGTGTCTACCACAGCGTTACAGCGTATAAAAACAGAGAGGCTACAAGATGAAGGTGTGAAAGAGAAGTTCAAATGTAGATTGAGAGAAAATATAAGTGGTATGGCTGAATTGTGTATGAATGATTTAGACTTGGAGACTGTGTGGTATAATGTCAAGAAAGGTTTAGTGGATGCAGCTACCGAAGTATGTGGTGTAAGCAAGAGAACAAATGAAAGGAAAAATAACACGTTATGGTGGGATGATGAGGTACGGATGGAAATTGAAGCAAAGAAGAAAGCATGGCTAGATTTACTAGCAACCAAGGCTAGTAATTCTAGCAGTATGAATGATGATATTGAAAGGAAAAAGGCGGTTTTTAGACACCTAAATAAGAGAGTAAAAGAAGTAGTTGAAAGGAAAAAGCAAGAAAGAACGGATAAGAATGATAGAAGAATATCGGATAACTTCCAGGAAAACATTAAAATGTTCTGGAAACTCGTAAGAACTACCAGGGGACATTCACAACAGCCTAGAATGAATGCTATACGAGACCAGAATGGCTGTATTCTGAATGACGAAGTTTTGAGTTTAAGGAGATGGAAGGAATACTTTGAAAGCGTGTTTATGAGTGATGAGACGTTTGAATTAAATGAAATAGAAATTCCGAAAGAAGAGGAAATAGATAGAGATATAAGTATAGATGAAATAATGAAAGCAATGAAAAGTATGAAAGTAGGTAAGGCAGCTGGTTATGATAGAGTATCTCTCGAAATGCTAAGGGCTGGAGAAGGAGTGGTGGCAGACCTGCTGTACACCTTGTTTAATTTATGTTGGGAACTTAAGCGGGTACCGGGAGACTGGTGCAAAGCCGTGATAGTCCCAATATATAAGGGAAAAGGATCACAGCAGGACTGTAAAAACTACCGTGGTATCAGCCTTCTTAGCATTGTGGGAAAACTGTATGCTAAGGTACTAATTGAAAGAGTTATGAAAGAAACTGACGGAAAAATTTGGGATGTGCAAGCGGGATTTAGAAAGGGAATGGGATGTACGGATCAGGTCTTTTCCATGCGCATGATCGCCGAGAAGTTTTTGGCCAAAAACCAAAAAGTTTTTTGTGCGTTCATGGACTTGGAGAAGGCTTATGACAGAGTGGACAGGGATGTGTTATGGCAAACACTGAACTCATTTGGGTTGAGCGCTGGTCTGATACAGGCATTGAAGTCTCTATATAGGGACTCTAGTGCTTGTGTCAGGATCAACGGGGCCTACTCGGACTGGTTTGACATCCATAAAGGTGTCAGACAGGGCTGTGTGGCTTCCCCGTGGTTGTTCAACCTGTTTATGGACAGTTGTTTGGAAAATTTGAAAGTAGAAGAATGCGGGTTAAGAATGGGTGAGTTAACCGTCAAATGCCTTTTGTACGCCGATGATCAAGTCATACTTGCGTCGTCGGCAGCCGAGTTGCAAACGATGGTTACATTAATGAACAGGACATTAAAAGAAAAGGGAATGAAAGTGAACGCAAGTAAGACGAAAGTTATGGTTTTTGAAAGAGAAGAAAGTAAAACGATATGTGAAATAAGAATAGAAGGGGAGTTGGTAGAGCAAGTAGATGAGTTTGTATATTTGGGATGTGTGTTTAGCAGGGATGGTAGATATGATAAGGATATAGAACGACGAGTGAATGCAGGAAATAGAGTGAATGGGGCTCTACACTCTATTGTGAAAAGTCAGAATGTGTCCAAAAAGGCACGTATGGCAATTCACAATGCTGTGTTAGTACCTACTTTAATGTATGGTAGTGAAAGTTGGGTGTGGCAGAAGAAGCATGAGAGTAGAATAAATGCTGTAGAAATGCGGTCATTAAGGAGTATGTTAGGGATGAAGCTGAATGACAGAGTGAGAAATTGTTTAATAAGAGAAGAGTGTGGTTTGCAAGATGATGTTGTGACCAGGATTAAGAAAGGAATGCTTCGGTGGTTTGGCCATGTAGAAAGAATGAATGAGGAAAGAGTGACAAAGCAAATTTATGTTGCAGAGGTGAACGGCATAGTCGGGAAGGGTCGCCCTAGGCGAAAGTTTATCGACCAAATTGGCGATATATTAAAAATGGGCCAAATCAAGAGTACCTTTAACCGACGAGCGTGTATGCGTAGGTATATGGATGTGGAGGAAGCGAGAGAGGTGTGTCAGGATCGTGCCAAATGGAAGTCCATAATCTCTGCCTACCCCTCTGGGTGACAGGCGTGAGTGTTTATGTTTTATGTTATGTTACATAAATAAATGTCACAAAGTGTAAGCATTTAAGAAAATGAAAAGTGAACAAATTGGTTATTTTAAAATGAGGAGCTTTAAATGTCCATTGAAATGGCTTCAGTCAGTACGAGCTATATGCAAAATGTTGTTAATTTATTTTAATTACTTTAAACATCAAGGTATTTATACATTAATGGCCAGGTGTGCCATCTATTATTTTACTGTCGTGTCGTTTTAAAAATCGTTATAACTCGCTCGAATTGCGTTTTTGGAAGATTTATACAGAACAAAATATTCATTATTTTTTAATAGATAGGATAGGCGTGTGATCAACTTATACGGGCCTTGACACGATAGGCGTGTCAATTAATATTTGTTCACCGCCACAGCTAAAAGTTGTCGAAAATTGGTGTCGCAACGAATCGGTTAATTTATACACAGATTACTTTAAACCAAATTTTATTCAAAAAAATGTCACAAATATAATATGTAAGGTATTAGATGTCAATTAACATTAAAAATTATAAACAATACTAACATAAACACATAACTAAAGAAAAGCAAGATTAATGACAATATGAGCACAAGTGCAGCAAATTTTATACTTAAAAAATTAAAAAGCACCAATGAAAATTCTTAAAAGTTATAAAAAACCACATATTTTAGACGGAATCATTAATTGTGTGTACTGAATTAAAATTGTGACCAAGTGAAAATTTAGTTACTTGTCACATTAACTTACAACTAAATGCAAAAATTACAATGTGTCTAATTTTTGTAAAGTTGTAAGTTTTGACTAAACAGCATGATAGTAAGAATATAATATTTAATATTCATTTTATAATTTAATTATACTCCTGAGTGACATTTTATACCAACTTACAAAGGTAAGAATTTTACAGTATCTTTTAATTTATTGAGTGTTGTGTTTAAAAAGTTTCCTATACATAAATCTAATAATACAAAGTAATAAGTCAAAGGCTGACGGCTGATGTTAACAAATAAGTTGAAATAATTTAAGACATAATTAAAATTAATTATCTTTGTTCGGGATCCATAACATTGATTATGAAAAGCTACCTTGCTGGATACATTAACAACTTAATAATATTATAATATATAGTTTCACTTTTACTCTATATGCAGTGCCACTTGTAAACAGTTAAGTTTTAATAGTTTTTTTTTTTTTACTTTTTATTATTTAGGCTTGCATGTTTGACTGCATGCTTTTATCAAAGTGAAAAAATTAAGTTTTGGATGAATTTCAATTTGCAGTTAAGGATTCCAAACAACATTACCAATATAAAACGTTCCCAAAATAATACTTCAATAATTATCAACGCACTTCATTGATTAGTTGATCACATATTCTTGTTAACTCCTCATTATCTCTAGTCTTTTGCAACAGAGACTCTTGAAGTGATGATATTGAAATCTCATGCTTCTTGATAATTGCATTTAACTTAGTGATTTCTACGGTATGATTCTTTTTAATATTCTCTAATGTTTCATTTGCTTTATCTAAGCTTTCAGATGTAATGCGTTTTAAATTATTGTATAGTTCTTCATATTTCTTTATACCATTTTCATATTCTAGAATTTTTTCCTCAAATATTTTTTCTCTGTCTTTTGTTTCTATAATAACACTCTTACATTTTTCGTATTTAGCTAATAAATCATTGAAGGAACTTTCCATGCTTGATAGATGACTGAGTGCCTGATCCCTCTCTAAAGTTAGTCTTTCAGTTGTTTCTTGAGATTGGATTCTCTCACGCTGCTGTTCTCCAATTAATGATGATATGGTCTTTTCATATTCTTCCATAACAATACTCATCTGTTTATTATTTAGGATTTTCTCACTGACCTGCTTCAATAAATTATTTTCTCGTTCTGCTAAAATATCTTTCTCATTCGTTAATTTTTTAATTTTTGATTCTAGTTCTTCTAATGTTCGAGAATGTTTATGTTCCATGTCTTGCAAGGAAGATCTCAACTCTCTATTTTCTTGTCTTAATTGCAAAACTTCTTGATCTTGCTTTTGTAAAATGACTCTGAGTGACTGCAGCCTATCCCCTTCCTGGTTGCTGTAATTATTGTAACGAGGACTACGTGGAGCAGCTGTTGGAGGGGTGTTGCCAGCGATGCTTATCAATCTCTCAGTTGCAACCCTAGTAGGTGTTAAGATAGCAGATACACTGCGTATCAATGCTGGAGTAGATCCAATATTTGCAGCACTTATTTTAGGAAATTCATTGCTAACTACTGGAGGCACAACTTGCATTGGTTTCTCCTTAGTTATGATTGCTCCCATTGATAATGAATGCTTAGGACTGGCAACATGATGCTCTGTAGTCGATGAAGCACTACCTGTCTCATATCCAACATCACATTCACAGTTTTCAGTGGAGTCTGTGCAATTTGAGCCTGAGATCATTAATTTTTGTTTTGCATATAATGGGTCAAATTTTACAAAAAGACTTTCCTTCCCCCGATCAACAAAAGTATGATTACGATTTGATTCAGCACATTTCACGAGATAATCTAAACTTGTCGCATCTATAAACACATCATCGGATGTCGGTATCTCCTGCATAGTCACGTCACATATACTATCAAAATCTGTGCCAGTTAACAAGTCTCCAGTCACATCAGAATGTTCGTTTGATTTTTTCGGTGACATTGCCATGAGATCAGCCGCTGATGATACAGCCGATAAATGTGTTGTAAAACTATCATCAGATGCAGCCGAAGTTCCCCTAGCGGACAACATATTGTCGTCTTTTTCCGTGTTTCCCACAACTGCGTGACCCAATAAACTTTGAAATTTTTGATAAATGTTTTTTAAACTACTTCCTTCATTTGGTACTTGCGTATCAACACCCAAAATATTTGAAAACATTCGTCGTTTTATGTACCGTATCACAATATTTAAAAGTTTCGTGAAAAGGGCTTACTTCGTTAACAATACAGAATTACAGATCTTCTGGTTCTTAGCTATTTTTGAACACCATAAAGAAAAAAAACTACAACACAGAAATACTTTCAACACATCAACGATTTCAACGGATACATTATTTTTAAATTTGACAATTGACATACTAACGAAGGTTTTTTTTATAACTGGCTTTACGGCTCTGGGTTCTAGCCCTTCTGGGCCTGGTTACAATGTATAATTATTACCCTTCATAGTACACTGCTTCACAATATGTAGATGCGTCACATTGTGCAGCCCTTGGGATATTTTGACGGAACTTGAGCTAGCAGGCAGCTGACAGTTCGCGATGGTATCTCAAGGCGTCTAAGCAGACAGTCACCTTATCTTTTCACATGCGCTGACAATACACAAAATCGCACCAGTTCTACATATCAAAATCCACTTCAAATCATTATTTAAACAATGATACAGGAGCAATAATCCGCCGCCGGTCAAGTTCCCGCCAAAACTCACTATCTAACTATGGAGTGTAGAGGTAGAAAGAGGACTATCTGTATATATGAAAAGTGTCCCTAAAAACGTGTCCAATAAGGGTGGCGCTGCAGTAGCATAGGATAAATTAAAAAAAAAGCGCCAAAAGTAATTAGAATAAGATGGAGAAATAAACAAGGACCGACCAATCCGCTTGGTTTTGTACTACGTAAATAGTTTTACGTAAATAGATTTTGTATACTGGCATTTTACTAACTACTCTAATCATGAAATTTTTTAAATATTTGAATTCAGCTGACTTTACTCCGTTCAAAACAGCTTTCTTCATATCGTAGTTTTTCAGACGCCAGCGCTATTGTGGTAGGTTTTGGAACCTCTATTTTCAGTAAATAGTAGGACACTTTTTCAACTTTTGCCTCTTATAAGATGGTTCTCCTTGTACTCTACACTCCATATAATATATTATCTAACGAAGAAAACAGACAGATACGAAGAGATTTTTTCTTCTTTGGTGATGGACTCGTACGGTTGTACTTTTGCCAGTATAAGAAAAGGAAATTATGCTTTATAATTTGTTCAAAAACTTCTCTACAATATTATGTTGATGTATCTACAATATTACGTCATAACACGGGGGAGTGTATTTGTACGACAACTTGGACCAGCGGAATCGATGTTCACAATACCTAAGTTCTTAAGGCAGCGCCTGCGAACAAACTAAGCAGGGTTTTTATACAGGCTTATTTTGCAATAACCGGACAAATTTGCACAGAAGGTTCTGAGTAAGTGATATAGGCAAATGGTGAAATCTGTCTTGTCTTCTGTTTTTTTTTTATATTTTAAATTCAAAAAATACATTATTTTAACCGATTATTATTAATAAATATTTAGCGCCTACTATTTTACGACGCACGCACACATTCGTAAGGGGTCGATCTGTTGGCAGAAACTATGGAGTGTAGAGGTAAGGAGAACCATTTCTGTGTATGAGTAAATGTCCGTAAAAACACGTCCAATAAGCGATAGCATAGGATAAATTAAAAAGGGCGCCAAAACTAATTAGAATAAGACAAGGAAACAAACAAGGAGTTAAATACTATATGAATATACAATTTGCATTTTTTACAATTTCATTTTGCATTTCCTCGCTCAAAGGATAAGTATAGCCATTTAGCGGAGAAACGCAGCCAGCGTTCTTGGCACGATACCGCGGGGAGTAGGGCTATATGATAATTAAGTTTCTAGTTTTGGTTTTTTTTTTATTATCATAGTTTTTAATATTGTAGATAAAATTAAGTATGATGTAAAATTTGCATGGATTGAATTATTTTAAATTCGATTTCTCAATCAGGTTATTGTAAATTAAATAAATAAATCAAAATAATTACTCAACATACACTTTATTTACTTAATTATTTTAGACTACGTAAATAATTGAGGTTTAGTATACTGCCATTTTACTAATTACTCTTATGAAATAATAGCTATGAAAATAGTTATGAAATTTTATAAATATTTGAAATCAGCACATTTCACTCCGTCTACAACAGCTATGTTCATATCGTAGTTTCTTAGACACCAGCGCTGTTGTGGTAGACTTTCGAAGTGGTTTAACACAAAAACAGTGTGTTGACCGGATGATTTCTGCATTTGGTGATGAAGCCCCATCCAAAACCACAATTTATCGCTGGTTTGCTGAAATTCAACGTGGACGTGTCAAGCTCAGTGATGATCAATCTTTCTCAAGCACCTCAAGTTGTTTTTGATGGAAATTTTATTCCTCTTAGTGAAAAAGTCAAAGACTTGGGAATTTATATTGACAGTAACCTATCATGGGGTCCTCAAATACAGGAAGTTAGTCGTAAACTCTTTGCAGCTGCTCGATCATTGAACAGATTAAGGAACTTTCTGCCTACTGCCACTAAAATTGCGCTTGCACAATCTCTGCTTCTCCCGATTCTGGACTATGCAGATGTCAGCTATCTTGATCTCACCGAAAAGCAACTTGATAAACTTGAGCGTCTTCAAAATTTTTGTATAAGATTCATATTTGGTTTGCGCAAGTATGATCATGTTTCTTGTTTTCGTAATAAGCTCAAGTAGCTTCCTATTCGTCTTCGCCGGAATGCTCATATTCTGTCACTTCTTTACAATGTTCTATTTAATCCTTCCTATCCTTCTTATCTTAAGGATCGCTTTGAACTCCTTCACTATTCCCATTCGAAGGTTTTGAGATCATCAGAAAATTTTACATTAAAAATGCCTGCCCATAATACCAAATTTTTGGACAGGTCGTTTACTATCCAAGCAGTCCGTCTATGGAATGCACTACCTCTGTCAGTGAGACGCGCCCAATCTTTATCTGTTTTTCAGAAGCTTGTACACAACCACTATCTTAACCATTGAATTCGTGCCATCTATATATGTATGCATTCGTATTTTATGTCTTTATTTGTTATTTATTTCTATATATTATAATTCAATCTTTATAAATATTGTCTCTGCATCACCAAACCACACAATTTTCTGCTTTTTGTAATCCTGTCCATCCAAAGGTTGTCTGGAAGAAATCGCTTTTAGCGATAAGACCGCCCATTGTGTCACTATTTTATTTTTTATTTTTCTTTCGTTTATGTATTGATTTGGTGTACAATAAAGAATTATCTATCTATCTATCCCTGTCAAGGTCGTCCAAAAACTGCAGTCACCCAAGAAAACGTTGATGCTGTGCGTAAGCTGATTAAGGAAGATCGACATGTGACATACCGCGAAATTCAGGCAACTTTAGACATTGGCATGAGTCAAATACAAATAATCTTGCATGAACAATGTAAAAAAAGTTGTTTTCCCGATGGATACCGCATTCGCTCTGTGAAGAGCAAAAAGCGGCTCGCGTTACTTGGTGCGTCAGAACTCTCGAAAGATTCCACGCAGGATCCTCAAATGCTGTATACAACATCGTATTAGGTGACGAATCCTGGATATACGCGTACGAACCCGAAACAAAAAACCAGTCACGAGTTTGGGTGTTCGAAAATGAGTTAAAGGCAACAAAAATTGTTCGTTCACGGAGTGTTGCAAAAAAAATGGTGGCCACGTTTGTCTCCAAAACCGGCCATGTTACGACTATTCCTCTTGAGGGACAAAGAACGGTTAATGCAGAATGGTATGCTAGCATTTGTTTGCCACAGGTCGTTTCTGAACTCCGTAAAGAGAACTGCAACCGCCGCATCATCCTCCATCACGACAATGCGAGTTCTCACACCGCACACAGAACAAAAGAGATTTTAGAGCAAGAAAACATAGAATTATTAGACCATCCGCCGTACAGCCCCGACCTAAGCCCTAATGATTTCTATACTTTCCCTAAAATAAAAAATAAATTGCGTGGACAGAGATTTTCATCACCTGAAGAAGCTGTGGACGCCTACAAAACGGCCATTTTGGAGACCCCAACTTCCGAATGGAATGGTTGCTTCAATGATTGGTTCCATCGTATGGAAAAATGTGTCAAATTTCGCGGAGAATACTTCGAAAAGCAATAAATACATTTTTAAATAGTAATGTTGTGTCACTTCCTTGATTCCCGAAATTTTCAGTGCCGCCCTCGTAGCAGCAACACCTGTTCACGGACTGCAGTAGGCAGTTACCATCAGGTGGAGTTCAGGTTGTCCCAGTTTTGTAAAAAAAAAAACAATAACAATACCTAACTGGCCTTGATGTAATTTTATAAATTTATAATGCATTTTACCTTTAGACCTTTTTTTTTGTTTGTCTTAGAAAACAATTTGTTAATACATTCATAAAGTTTTTTTTTTACTTTATATGTATATAATTGTACATACAACGAAAGGTTGAAATTTAGAATCATTTGGCAGGAGGAGGGGGCAGTGGTTGAGGGGAGAGGAAGCGGGGAGCATCCCCTTACTCCCGATACCACTCCCATTAAAAGGTAATACACCGTTCTTGAGAAAAATCAAAAAGAAAATCCCATAGACTTAACCTGAAAGTATCATTTATCCTCTCCGGCAGGAGGGGGGGAAAAGGTTAACAGGAGTGTGCCCTATCAGGGAAAGCCCCTCTACCTTTCCCTTGTTGCGGAAAAGTATAGTTTATGAGTAATAATAATAATAATAAATCATTTTTATTTCCTCTTCACAAAGGTATAAAATTTCACATTATTACTTAGGTAAATAATACGGTTGCAGAGAATTTGTAACCTTTGTGAGAGACTGGTGTCCATACTAGGGTAATCCCTGTGTTATAGATCACCAGGCCCTCACCCTAACGAATTGCACATAATATTTACATTTTCAATTATACTACAAGGAATGATTCTATATGGTTTTTTTTTTAATTATTTCTATATAAATAAAAATAGTGCGTGCGTGCGTGCGTGCGTGCGTGCGTGCGTGCGTGCGTGCGTGTGTGTGTGTGTGTGTGTGTGTGTGTGTATTAGGTATGTGTTTTTAGGATAATACTGTCAGTAAATTTTCAGCAGCCATATAATTGATATTTAGCAACCATTTCTGTAATGTTTGTTTACATGCATGTTTTGTTAGAGAGTAAATTAATAAATGTTTATTCAATTTATTATAAAGGTACCCAGGAAACAGAAAAATCTATGTGAAAATTGGGTCTTT